TTTTTTTTTTTTTTTTTTTTTTTTTTTTTTTTTTTTTTTTTTTTTTTTTTTTTTTTTTTTTTTTTCATTTCTTTTTTTTTTTTTATTTTTATGTCGATGAATGTTTTTGATGATTTTTTAAGCACGGGTCTTTTCATCGCAGCTCGTTTTTTGCATCAGTAACGATAGCTCAGAACTTAATGTTTGCCCCGATCGAAACCCCGTTACTGAGTGGTCCGGATTTCCATTTACTTCGATCGCTGAGAAGGAAGCCTCTCGTACAGTTGCATAGTGGTACTCTCACTTATACTCTCCTCCACATGTGTTGCTTTTAAATATGGGCAGTTCATTGTTATCGGTCTTAAAAATCGTATGAAAAGTGTCTGGGTTTAAAAAAAATTTGCTTAATTCGTGTCCGGGTTTAAAAAATACTTAAAAATTTGTATATTTCTTAATTAATGAAATTTGTTTCAAAAATTTTCTTTGAATTTAAATTGGTTTGAACTTCTTTCAAAACTTTTCCTCGACTTTAAGTTGTTTTGAATTTTATGACTTGCAATGCATATCGTTGTGATGGTTACAGCGTTTGAGAGCGGTGGACGAGGAGCGAATCTGCGAAACGAAATCGCTTATGCTGAAAAGTATCGAGGCCGAAACCCGAGTGATGAACATAATTCAGCGATGTTACGAGGACATGAATAACGCCGCACAGAGCATCTCACCTGCCAGTGATACTGCCAGTGTTGTCGAGCAGTACAGGTAACGCGGCTTGAGAAAAACTTGAAAAAGCATAAAAAATTGAAGCCCCTTCGTCAATTTTTATAGTTATTTGAACCGGATTTATGACGTGTGTTGATCTACCCACTCTGATTCCTGAAGTCTGTTATCCTGCTTTCTTGTTCTGAAGGAATTATTGAATATATCGCGTTTTCTCCGCCATTTGTGTGATCCTTAAAATTTTTTGCTGTCTGTTCGCCCTCCTTACTTGCTATGATGAACGACATTCATGAGAGGACGCGCCTGATTTTAGTTAAATAGAGGGAGTGGAGTGAAATGACACTAGTTTCTTAAGTATAGTAGGCGGCTATCATTTTATCATCGATGCTCCAACTTGTTTTTATCAAAGTACAGGCTTTTCTATGTCGTACCTAATGCCTACCCAATCTTTAACATGCTACGGGCGTTCGATAGTGCGTTTTGCTTCATTCTCATAGTAAAACCCTCTTTTAATGCGTTTTTGCTGTGCAGCGCTACAGTGCTGCTACAGCGAACAAAAACGCGCATTGTCGAGAAGTCATCTGTGCATGTGTGTGTTCAGAAGCGAGTGAACTTTGTCACCTACTTTCAACCCAACAACCAGGAAAGTTGGGAGGCTGAAATTTTGGGAGCATATTCCCACTCTGTGCGGCATAAGTGGCCCATACGGCCCTATAATGCAACACCTTCGTCCCAACCAGCGCTCTTTCCTCTGCTTGTTGCAAGAGGCCAAAGCACAACAAGTATGAATCCAAGTGTTAGGCTACAGCGCAGGGATCATTCCAGCTATTAGCCCGCCAAAACGCATGATCGCACCGGCAACCCTGCTACGTTCCAGCCTGGGTTTTTTTAAAACTCACTTTATGTTATTTTTGTTATAATCTTTTTTGTGTGTTGATGTTTTTTGTGCGTCGTTTTTATTGAATTTGCTAGACGGCCAGTTTGCAGGTCGGGTTATGCTCATCCTCAGCCATTTCCATTCGAGGATCTGGGTGCTCCGTCGGCAGTGGTCACTGGTGAGGGCTCAAGTGTTGTTGATACTATGAAGAGGCCGACAAAAAATGGCTCGATGGTGAAGATCAATCGGAAGCCCAGCATGGGACTTTTTCGAGGCAACAGCCATGCAAGGAAGGTATGCATTTCGTGAATTTATGTAGTTCCAATTAAACGCGATCTGCTGAATGAGAACCATGGAATTTGCTTTTCTTGTGACGTTTAAAGTATGTGATTGACGGATAAACAAAATCCCTCCATCTTCGATTGTTATGAGAGGCACTCGGAAGTAGTTCGGGTGGCAGCTGCAGTTATTTTTTGGTTTCTGTGATGGTTTTCTCTATCTCGATGGTTGCTCAGAAGCAAGCTAACAGTGGTTTTACTTTCTCGATATGCACTGATACCAGTTTGCCGTTGAGGCAAATGACCGAATCGCAAAGGACTGGTTGCTCCCTGACGTGGGTTGAGTCCTCGGTTTCAGCATGAAAGCGTCGCTGCGTTATTTCGCCTTCCG